CTCTGTCTCCCTGTGGGGGTCATACAACCCCCCCGACTGTGGGTCCCTCACTCTGTCTCCTTGTGGGGGACACAGATGTCCCCCTGACTGCAGGTCCCTCCCACCCTCTGCCTGTGGGGTCACAGGCACCCCTGGACTGTGGGCCCCTCACATCCTCCTGGGGGAGTGTCTTGAGGGCTCAGAGCAGAACAGAGAACAGGGTGGGGACAGTGAGCCGCTGGCTCAGAGAGCAGGCTTCCTGGACGAAGGCGGCCGGGCCCCGGGGCTGCAGAGAGGCCTCCTGCCTCACCCTGTTCTCCGGGCCCGGCCTCAGGCTCATGGCAGCAGGCTCACCTGTGGTTGAAGGTCTGGAGGCCGATGGAGGCTGACGCGAAGGCCACAGACTGCGAGAAGCTGGAGGTGTGGCCCAGGCCCAGGGCGCAGACGCCAGACAGCCCAAGACCCATGGCCTGCGCGCACAGAGGGCATGGGAGAGCTGCAGCAGGGCTGCCTTCCCAGCCGCCGGGTGCCTGGACACTGCCGGTGTGCCCACACGCCAGCTGTGCCCTGCCTCCTGGGAGAGGCCTGGGCCCGGGCATCTCCCCAGTGTGTGCCTGTGATGCTCAGAGTGAGCTGTCCAGACCCCTCCCCCCACCAACTGATGCTAACAAGGTGACCAGGGGCCCTCAGGGACATGGGGGGCTGGAGACTGCGCCCAGCCACCCAGTGACCTAGCCATTGTGCCCACGTGAAGCTTCCCCCACCTCCCGGGATGTGGTCACAGCAGTGGGTCTCGGGGTCAGCAGCAAGCGTGGGCCGACTCATGCCACAGTCAGGTGCAGGTGAAGCTGCCCAGAGCCCCCTCCCAGCCATGAGCCCAGGCCCCTGGAGGGGTGTCTGTATGCAAGGGGCACAGGGCCCATGTGGGGGCCCTGGGGGCCTCCCCCAGAGAGGTGGCTCGAGCCCCAGCATGGGCCCCAGAAACTGGCTGACTTGGGGGCCCCGTCCTTGAGTGCAGAGAGCACCAGGTGAGTGGGTTCTACCTGCATGAACTTCCGCACCGTGATGGTCCTGTAACCTGAGGGCGGGCGGGCGGGAAGCGGCTCATTAGCCATGTGGTGGCTGCCCCCTCGGCTGTCCCAGCCTTCCTGGTGGCATAGGGAGGAAGGCCACACAGATGGGCCCCCCAGATGGGGACAGGAAAGAATTCATGCCCACACATGTGGGCACCTGTGTGGGCACGTGTGAGGTATGCAGGCCACCTGTGTGCACCTGTGTGGTGCACAGAACGCGGCACGTGAGCTTGCCTGGGTATGTACATGCATGGGATGCACATCTACATGGCATGCCATGCCTGTGCACACGTGTGCACAGGAGCCTTTGTGTGGCAGCCACATGCGCACACGCTTGAGGGCATGTGTGTGGGTACCTAGTGTCCTGCGTGATGTGCATCCACTCACAAACCACGGTGTGCCCTGGGGACTCCTGGCAGTCACATGGAGTCACTGTGTGCCCGGCCGGCCTCTGGGCGACTGAGCACACGCAGGGGGCTGTGTGTGCTTGAATACAGGATCACGGAGGGAGGGGCTGGACCGCAGTGCAGGTGGGCATGCTCAGAAACAAGGGTGCCCCATGCTGCCCGCTGACTCAGGCCTGCCTGCCTGCCCACCACTGGGAGAGTGGCTTTGCCATGTCCCTCTGCCATTTACTAAATGGGTACACCACCGAGGCAGGGCAGCAGCTCCTCCAGACCCCTGCCTCCCCCGCCGTGTCGATGCCGAGGCCAGCCACTTCTGGGCTGCCCTCCCCCAGTGGCAGCTGTACCCCAAGGGCCCCAGTGCGAGGCATTCTAAGACCTGGCCAGCGCTGGCCCTCCCGCCCCTGTCCCTGGGTGGGCACTCACCATGACTGATGAGGTAGTCCGAGAGAAACCCACTGAAGAGACCAGCGGGGATGGCCACCAGCCAGGGCACCACATTGAAGACCCAGCCCTGGGGGTGGGCGTGGGGGGCAGCTCAGGGGGCTGGCCAGACCACAACCCACTCTTCCCACAGCCACCCCTGGGGTCAGCAGGCAGCAGTGCCCTGAGCCAGCCTATTCCCCCACTACTCCCCTGTTGGCACCCCACACCCCAGGGGCAGGCCAAGCAACCAGGTGGTGCCCCTTCCCTGGAGAGTCCCAACCACCTGAGGCCAGGAGATGCAGCGTCTCCCCCCACCCAGGGCCTGCCCAGCCCCTTCTCCCGATGTCAGCCCCCAGGGCAGGTTCTCAGAGCCCACAGATGACACAGGCCAGGCCCTCGGTCAACACTGCCACCATAACAGGAAGCAGTGCAGGACCTGAGTCCCCAACCTGCCCGAGAGCAGGTACTGACCTTGGAGCTGGGGAAGGTCTCCCTGAAGAAGGTGGGCAGCCAGGAGAGCAGGGTGAAGAAGGCGCAGGCAGAGGACAGCTGGGAGAGGACAGCCGCCCTGGAGTGGGAGGTCAGGGCTCCGTCACTGTGTGTGTGTGCGTGTGTGTGTGTGTGTGTGTGTGTGTGTGTGTGTGTGTGTGTGTACTCCCACAGCCACCCAGGGGCAGGCGGCAGCTCAGGGCAGGGGTATAGGTGTGTTCAGCCTATAGCTGAGATGGCTAAGCCAGGAGGTGGGCCAGTACCAGCCGTCCCCAACTTACCAGACTGCAGGCTTTCGGAAGAGCTGTCCCCACCGGACCTTGGTGTGTCTGGACATGGGGCGGCCTCGGGCCAGTGCGCCCAGGACAATGAGGAGGTCTGAGGAGAGACTTGTCAGGGCACTGTCCCCTGAGCAGAGGTCGGGATGCCCTAACAGGCTGGGCGGGCTGAGAGGTCAGTGATCTCCCACCTGTTCTGTACTAAGTTCCCTGGGCTTACCTCTCCCCATGTGGCTGCTTCCCAAGGGCAGGGGGTTAGCTTCTAGGGCAGGTCCCAGGTAGGCATCCCAGCCTCCTTCCTGAGCCAAGGGCCTGTCCCCGTCCCTGCAGCCCTCCGTCCAGGGCAACAGCCTTGCCTTCAGATGGAATGTTCTGGACTAACAGGGTGACCGTGTCCAGGGCTCAGAGCGAGGCAGGAGGCGAGCTCCCTAAAGCTCTAGCCCCAATGCAGAGACCAAAGCGGGGTTCCTGGCCAGGGCACCTCATGCCCAGACCCCACCCACAGGTGTCAGCGGGGCACCCAGCCTGAGACAGACTAGGAAGAAAGGCCTGGTGATCCACGTCAGGACTACGGTGACGCTGCGGGACTGGGCGAGGTGCACTCTGCTGTTCCCGGGTTCCCGTGTCACAGGGCTCTGCAGTGAGGCTGCCCAAGGTGGATCTGGGCCCCTGAGGGGAAGGGCAGTCAGGCCCTGGCCTCCTGGCCACATGTCCTCACCTCTCTCACTCAGTAGGCACCTGTACACGTAGTATACCCAGAGCAGTGTGAGCCCACCGGCAAAGTAGAAGACACTCGGCCAGCCGTGCCGCTCCAGGAGCAGGGAGCCCACGCCGCCGGTCACCAGCGTTCTGCGAGGACACGGCGCAGGCCACGCGCTCAGTCGAGCGCTGCCGGAGGCACCCTGGGCACCCTCTCCATGTGGCTGCGGGGCCCCCCCCCCTGCCCCGCCCCCAGCCCCTGTCCCACCCACCACGCAACTCACCCAACCTGGGAGCCAGTGCCCACGGTGCTGTAGGTGAAGGCCCGCTCACTGTCCGGCACCTTCTGTGACAGCAGGCTGGTCAGCGCTGGGAAGTAAACGCCTGGGACAGAAGGGCAGAGGCCACGCCCCTGCAGTCACTCAGGGCTGTAGGGGCTGAGGAGCAGAGGGGAGCACCTCATGGGTCCTCACCCAGTGAGGAGGGCGAACCAGGCTCACGACCTACAGCAGACTTCCTACAGCTCTGCTTCCTAGTGGTGCCTCTACTCCCACGAAGCTCTTCCACTGATGTGTGGACACCCATGTGTCCACGCACGCACGCACGCACACCCCTCCCTCTGACACACCGCCTGAAGCGGTGCTCGTGGAGCCCTTGCCCCCCTCGCCCCCGCCCCGGGATGTGGGGAGCCCAGCTAACGCCCACAAAGGTGCGACTGTCCCAGCAGACGGGTCCTCATGCCCTCAGGTGGTGTGAGCAGCCCACTGCTCTCAGGCCCACCCAGAGCTCCCAGGGCTCAGAGCCCCTGGTCCAGGGGCAAGAGGACACCTCCCTGCAGACAACACGCCCACATGCAAGGGACCCCGCTGGCCTACTGCGAGGTAGTGAGGTGCACCGACCAGAAACACCAGCCACATGGAGGAGGGACAGGACACCTGACACTAAGACTTGGGGGGTCCCAGGTGTGTCTAGAAAGTAGATGAGTCTCAGGTGACAAGTCTGCAAACAGCCAAGCCACCATTGAGGGCGAGCAGAGGTGAATGGACCCTGGACACCCCGTCCTGCAGCTCGGGCCAGGAGCCTCTGAGACCAAAGGGAGCAGCTGGGGGTGACCAAAGGCTATCCTGTCGGCTCTCCACTACCCCCTCCCCGGCAGCCTGCTCTCTGCCCCAGTAGCTGCTCAGTCACTCACTCGTCCCTCCTCTGCCGTCCCACCTGCCACCACCCAGGGCCTCCAGCGAGCTGGCACTGGAACGTGGTTAGGGGAGATCTGAGTGGGCCATGGCACCGGGACAGGACCACACAAGGACTATGACCGGCCAGATGGCAGCCCTGGGCCCTGCACGGAACAGGACGGGGTGAGAGTCTCCCTGGAAGCCTGGGGAACCTTCACAAGGGCAGCTCCAAGCTCAAGACACAGAAACGTGCAAACCGGACAGGAGGGGGTCCCTCTGGAACGTGCCGTTTCCCCAGGGCCGGGGTGTGTGGTGACGAAGGCCAGGGCCATCGGTGGCCCCACCTTGTGGCTCCTGAGAGCCTCTAAGTACACCACCACATATGCATACACACGTGGACACACGTGGACAGTGCAAACCCACGCCTGCACATACCCACGAGAGCCCCACACGGAGCTGGCACCCCCTCACACTCACCTTGGAGCAGGCCCATGAGGACCCGGGAGCAGGTCATTAGGGCCAGAGGGGCGCCACCCAGGCGGGCAAGCAGGGGGGTGGCAGCCGTGATGAGGCCCCAGGCGGAGGCCGACAGTAGGATGACCTTCTCGCCCCCGATCCTGGGGAGAAGCACGGGTCAGGGTGGAAAGGGGAGGGAGGTGGAGAGCCAGCAGGGGGACAGTTTGCTGTCATCCCTCCCTCTGTCTCTATGTGTCCACTCGGCCCCATGAGGCTGGGCCACTGGGCTGGACCCTCAGGACCCTCCCCAGCTGACCCCCTTCCGCTCCCCCCTCCATGAGTCACTGGGCCGGGCCCCTTCCTCCTGCTCCCAGCCAGCCCATCCTCCCCCTGCCCAGAGGCCCAGGTTGGGGGCAGGTGGGGAGAAGGGGTATTACCGGTCCCCAAGGTGGCCGCCCACCACCTGCGTCAGGCAGTAACCCCAGAAGAAGCTGCTCAGCGCGAGCCCCGCCTCCTTTTTGCTCCAGCCGAAGTCCTGGCTCATGGCGGCGGCACACACGGGCATGCTCACGCGGGCACAGTACAGCAAGCACGTGCCCAGCAGCAGAGTCCTAGTCCATGCCTGGCACTCGGGCCTGCAGGCACAGGATGGCGGTCAGGCCCAGCCCCTCCTCTGTCAACCAAGCCACCGTGGGGACACGGCCACACTGCCCAGGAAGATGCCCAGCCTCTCCCGTGCTCCTGAGGAGCGGCCAGGCACAGGAGGCCAGGCACAGGAGGACACAGCCTCCCTCCGGGGCAGAGGGCCAGCCGGGCGGTCGGGGCCCTCGCTGCTTTCCTGCCTGTGGTGCAGGGAAGCTGGGGACTTGCTTTAGGGACACTGCTCCAGGCAGGCCTCAGCGGGACATCTGGAGCTGCAGGGAGTGCCAGGAATGAGGCAGGCAGCTGGGCTCCTCTGAACCTTGGTCTCATCCTCTGGGAAGGGGGCTCGCTCCTGGTACCCGCTGACGGGCCAGGAAAGGGGTGCACCCCCAGCACCCCCAACAGGCTGGAACGGGAGCCAGGGAAGGTCTAGCAGCATTGGAGGGCGGCACCTCTGACCAAAAGTGTGCTGGCCGGGGGAGGCCTGCTACTTGGGGACAAGCCTGCCAGGCCTGGGTCCACTTTGCTAACCACAGCTGTATTGTTCCATCACTCGATGAGCGAGGCCGGCCCCAGGCCTCAGGTCTTTGCGGGTGGGGCCCCGTCCTCCCTGTGCATGCCCCCCCTCCAAGGGGCCCCAGATGCCACCTGGCAACTTAGTTGCCCCCTTCTCCGTACAGGCTTTCTGACCCCAAACACCCCCTTCTATTCTAGCGGGGGGCCTTCCCAGAGGGTGCTTCTCCAGGGAATGTACCCTCCCCCTTCAGGAGTGATCCTCAGGGATGAACACCCCACTCCTTAGGCCCAGGGTGCCCACCTGGCTGAGCAACCTGGGTGCTAGAGAAGGGTCTGGCCGAGGGCGACCCCTGAGTTTGCAATGGCCGATTTCTCAGCAGTAGCTTCTCCTTCTCTCTTCTGAGGGCCCTGGGGGTCAGACCTCCAAGCTTCCTATGGCCACCCACATGTAGTCAGCCCGCACCTGGGAGCTGAGAGTCCCAGGACCCAGTCTGGTCCCTGGCAACACTCGGCAGGGAGGCCCTTCCCTGCCCTGTGCCTCAGTTTCCCCATCAGCAGTAATGAAAGTGGATTGGGCCAGGATTCACACAGGGCTCTCTGCCACCATCTCTGCCTTGCCTGGGAATGCCCTCTATGGGCCAGTGGAAAGGGGGTCCCTAGTTCTGCAATGCCAGGGCACCAGCTCCCTGAGCATTTGCCAAGACTAGGGGAGGTTGCTCCTTCTGGAATCAGCCCAGTGACCCCTCTGTGACTGTCAGGGATCGGTCTGGCCACCATTCCACCGACATCCAGGTCAGTAAGATCTCAGTGAGGCGATCTGATGCCCTGCTCTGAGAGGTGGTCAGCAGTTGTGTCGTGTTCTGATGCCAGACTGTGACCCAGCGCTGCTCTTCTGAGGCTCGGGCGAGGGGTGCAGAGGGGCTTATCTTCCAGGAGACCCAGCCATGGAGGGGCTTGGGCCCACCCAGCACCCGGCGGGGAGCAGGGAAGCAAGACCCAGGCCCAGCTGCTTGTGGATCTGTTCCGGATGTGGTCCCCTGGGTTCCCTGGGGCACCATGATGGACCCCAGCCAGTGTCCACAGGCGGGGCCTGGAAGGCGGTGACAAGCGCTGGGGACACACACATAGGTGTCGCCTTTACACTGCCAGTTTGGGGAGGGAGAGGGCAGGGACCTGGGGGCAGGGCTGTGAATGTCCACCGACTGCTGACCGACATGTGCCTAGGAAAGCACCTGGTGCCGCCTTTCCGTGGCTGGACGGACAAGCAGTGTTGCTGGCCCACAGGCTCAGCCCGAGGCAGCTCCTGGTGGCCTGGACCTCCGCTCCCTCAGGGGTGGGGGTAAGGGTGGGGTGAAGAGCAGCTGGGATGGACCGTCCAACAGGTTAGAACGGTTCAGGAGCAGCAGAGCCACTTCCCTGACCTGAAGGGGCCTCCTTAGATGCCCCTATGCTCCAGGGACCAACCACCCCTGTGCTCCAGCAAAGCCCCACCCCTGCCTGCCCCATGGGTTGGAGTGGGGGTGCATCCTAAGTGGCTTTTAAGAGGAGATCATGAGGACGGCAGTGGCTGGCCCACAGCAGCGTGCAGGCCCTGTAGGCTGAACTGCACCTTGGCGTCAAGTATGCATAAAGTTCTAAACCCCTCCATTCACTCCTGGTGAGCCAGGAGCTAGGCCCACCCACGGGTGAGTGGGGTACAGGCCAACAAGCCAGGGGAGACGGGGTGGGGGGTGGGGAGAGTAGGCAAGGCTGGGAGGGGGTGGGGGTGGGGCAAGAAGGAAACTGAAGATTGAGCAGAAGCAGCCTGGGCAGGAGGAAGTGAGCAGAGAGGCAGGCTCCTGATCTGGGCACTGGAGGGCAGTCCCTCCCCCTAACTGGTACTTGGTGGGGAGACTTGCTGGCTGCAATTTCAGGGGCCACTGCAGGTCCACCATGCTGCCTTCCCCACAGGCTGGCCTTTGAAGCATCGGTCCCTGGGCCTCCCTCCCTGCTACAACCTCAGTCTCGGATGGACAAGCCCCCACCTGCTGCCCTTCTGGCTGTCTAGTGCTCCGGGCCCTGGCTCTGCGGGCAGAAGCCCTGAGGGGTGCTGGGTAGAGCCAGAGATGGAGCATGGCTGCTTACAGGACGGGCCACCGGCCAGCTGGGCTGAGGTGGGGGGCAGGGGTGGGGATACTGGCAGGGTGCCTGTCCAAGCCCTGAACTCACAGTGACTGCACCTGTGTGACAGATCCCTTTGGAGGGGGTGGGGGGGTGGGATCTGAGCAGGGCAGTGGAGAGGCCAGTGTGAGGAGCCCACCTGACCTGCCACCTCAGTCACCTCCCTCGTGTGCAGGGTACGCAGCCATAGGGCAGCTGGTGACCACCCTGGGAGTGGACCTGCTGGACGTGTCAGCTCGAGGACACTGGTGTCCCTGTGCCTACCCTCAGCAGTGTCACTGTCACCCGACAGTGTCAGCCCAGAGGATGTCCACACAGGGGCCTGCCATGCCAGGTCACCAAGGGGAGCCGGGTCTGGTCCCTGCCCACCATCTTTTCCTTGGGAGGGGCGCCCCAGGAGGCCCCCACGCTGAGCCCAGCCACCCTGGCCCGCTCCCTCCCTGCCCAACCGCCGCCCCAGACCCTGCGCCCGCCTTGGCCCCCTCCCCTTCCCAGCAGGACGAGCGCCTCTCCTCTGCGCTCCGGGCAGATCGGGGGCTCACCTGGACCACGGGGCGTCCTGCGCCGCGTCCCCGCGGGCCTCGTCCGGGGTCGGCTGCATCTGCGGCGCGGCGGGCGGCGGGGCCTGGCTGAGCCCACACCGCAGGGCCACCGCCCAGGGCCACGTGTCAGTCCCGCGGAGCTTCCGTCCGGCGCTCCCAGGACGTGTCGCCCCCGGACGGCCACCC